GGAATATCTATATAATGTAATTTTTTTAAATTGTAGTTATGTATTGTAAATACATCTAATACTTTACTAACTATATAATTTTTCCTAAAATTATACATCACTGAAACAATGTAAATACATATAATTATTGTCCCAGGATGAAAATAAAGAAAAATAGCACTACAAAAACGGGCTTTATGCATTTCACGTTACTAAAATTATTTTGTTAAATAACTACTTACCACAAAAAATAATTTTAAAAAAATTACAAAAAATATCAATTGTTTATAACTATGTACTATCATCAACATAATGTGAAACAATTAAACCTTGCTATGAAATTTTAATATGCTTACCATCCTTAGGGTCCTCTCTTTGGAATTGAAATCAAGCTTTCCTGGTAACCTATGACACTCAAACTTCTAGGATAAGCAAGAAAATCTAATTCCCTGACTTCATTAGAATTAAGATTGTACCAAATCAAAAGTCCACTTTTTTTTTGAAGAAGCAATAAATAATCCCTCAAAATTGTTAATGGGTATTCAATAGGAAGAGGTTTAATTATATGTTTTTTAGTCCAAGACTCATGTACACCGTACTCTATCATTATCCAGATGTCCATCGTATCTCGAATTGGATTAATCTCACTATCTGGGCCGTGGTAGCATATCAATGTTAGAAACTCAGTCATGACCGTGAGGCTATAAGACATTTCATCAAAATAATTAGAAGAATCAGGCATCTTCATGTTGCGAAAAATCTCAGTTCTAATATCAAAGCAAAGGATCACATCCATTAAGTCCGATGTGGCATACCAATGAAATGTTCCACGATGAAGCTTCTCGAAACATGGATACGAATGCACATTAGGTAATTGTTGATCGATATGATTCAGATCTCGCCAAGAATCAATGCACATGTCATACACTTCTACTTTCTGCACTTTCTCCTCGGGACACCAATAAGAATCTAAAAAAACTTCTGATATCCTGACAAACTTGTAGTCATTTATAATCGGATCAAAACCAAACCCAACACCACCTATAAAGTTGCGATTAAAACCCTTTTGACAAACAAAAGGGCTAGGTGGGAGTAGCATGTATGTTTTGGTAGCTGGATTAAATAAGACAATATCCTCATTATCCGTGAGAACAATCAAGCCATTGCAAGTGCCAACGAGTTCATTAAAATGATAGAAAGGAGTAAAAGACAAATATGGCAGATCTAAATCTGGTAAAATGATATTAATATTATCGTGATCGTCACTATAAAGAATCGATAAGACATTTTTAAATCCTTCAGTTTCTTTTTTAATGGAATGGCTACAAACGATGAATTCTTTCTTTGGTATTGTAGTACCGTTGAGATGGATATTTATAAATGTTGAGGATTGAATGAGAGTGTACCAAGTTTTTGAGATTAATTTAAATCGTAAAAGAGATTTCACTGAAAATCTCAAAAATATATAAATCATCACATCTTGAGGTAATTTTTTCATTATTCCTTCCGACATCATACATCCTCAAAATGCAGGAGTGCATGTCAATGTTTCCCTGTGTTCTTAAAGCGTAGAAACTTACCAATCTCTTTTGAATGGTACGCTGAAGCTTCTTTCTCGCATATTCAGGTACGACACATACAAGTTATCTGCCGTACATGTTTACACTGTAATTTTATATTTTTCCCAATGTAATTTTATTTTTATTCCGCATAGAGTTCTCCTAGAAGGTAGCAAGCCTAAGACCTACAGTTCATTCTAGATCAACTCTACTAAATAAATGTTGGTGTAATATTTAGTGGTAATTTGAAATGTGCTCTTAGACGTTACATTTTAATCCAATTTTGTCAAATTTTGGAGTAGTACATCTTTTTTCTTTTTCATTCTCAAACACTATGAAAAACTGGATAGAATATAAAAACTTTTTATTATTGTAGTAATTTAAAATTTATTATATATAAATTTATAAAATGATTCGGATTATATTAAATTCATGAATATATTAGTCCAAATAAATATTCAGGATTATTATAATTGAGTTAATTATTTAAATCTACTAAATATGGATTTAATTAAAACCCACTCCATAAAGCACATATGTTATTTCACTTAAATCTGATTGGCCGCCGAAGGGAATCCTATTCCTATCACAACTCATCTATTCTAAACAATAAATATGGGTCCTCATAATTCAAAAAAGGAACTAAGAATTCTAACAAGAAGCTCGAGAAAGCTCGTGGATCAAAAGCCACAAATTTCTCTACAAGCTAGAAGTTCAAGAATTCAAGCGTTCAAATTCCAAATCAAGTTTAAGATCAAGATCAAGACCACCAGATTCAAGATTAAGCTCGAAGCCCTTAAATTCAACTAGAAGTCAAGATCAAGATAAAGTTCAAGTTCAAGTTCAAGCTCATAGAAGATTCAAGAACAAGCTCCAAAGCTCTTGAATCCAAGATCAAGTTCAAGTCCTCATCAAGTTCATCGAATCCACAAATCAAGATGAACACTACAAGATTCAAGAACAATCTTGAATCCCTTAAGTTCAAGTAAAAGTCAAGATCAAGATAAAGTTCAAGTTCAAGTTCAAGTTAATCTAAGATTCAAGAATAAGTTTTAAAGCCCTTGAATACATGATCAAGTTAAACTCAAATTTAAGATCAAGCTCAAGATCCCTTGAATTTATAATTTAAAAGACGAATTCAGAGGAATCATGGAGATTGTAACACTCACACTTTTTAAAAAATACGATTGTTGCTATATTTTTCCGTTCCTGATTATTATTTTCTCGATGCGAATTTTATTGTCTTCAAATTCTGGCACCCCTAAGGGTTAATCTTTACCTCTAATCTCATCTTTTCAAGCATCAAAGAATATCAAATGACTTCCAATATAGTAGAACAACTAGAAAGCTTGACATAAGAGATTGAAGGCTTGAAAAAGTGTGCACGCGAACAAGATACTAAACTTTCCAAGCTAACAAATAAGTTGGATACCTTAATTGAGATAAGATCAAGTCAAGCAGCTCTGAAGCTTTCTAAAATTCAAGACAAAGGGTAGTCTTGCACAAAGCAAACAAAGATCAATGAGATTCATCTCTCCACTGAAGGTTTGATTCCAATTGATCAATTGAAGGACTTTATGAGAGAGGCTATCGAAGACAAATTTGAGTCTTCATCGAAATTTTAACCCACATATATGTAAAGCCTTATACACAAAGAATTGATAATTTGAAAATACCTAGGGCTATCAACCTCCTAAGCTTCAACAATTTGATGGCAATGGAAATCCCAAACATCACATAACACACTTTATTGAGACTTGCAATGATGCTGAGACGTATGGTGATTATCTCGTTAAAAAGTTTCTTCTATCTCTCAAAGAAAATACCTTAGCTGGTACACTAATCTCGAGCCTAATTCTATAGATTGTTGGGAGCAGTTAGAGCAAGAATTCCCAATCGTTTCTATAACACAAGACGTGCCATTAGAATGTTTGAAATTACAAAGGCTCAACAAGGTGAAGATGAGCTAGTTGTTGACTTTATCAATCGCTGGAGAAGTTTGATCCTTAATTGGAAAGATTACCTTAGTGAAACTTCTAGCATTGAAATGTTCATCGAAGGCATGAATTAGAGTCTTCACTACATCTTACAAGGATTAAAACCTAATACATTCGAAGAGTTGGAAACTTGTACACATGACATGGAATTAAGCTTGCCTTTAAGAGAAGATCATCGATCTCCCGTCTATGGACCTCATGAAGATGACGATATAGAAGAACTCCAAAGTGGGGTCAATTACACATCTGAAGATGACTTTGAAGAGTCAATGCATATCTAGACACTCTTTAACGCACGAGCATAAAATACAAGTTACAACGCTCCTTAACGCTTGAGATTAAACTGCAAGTTACAATGCTCCTCACTGTATGGGCCTAAACTACAAGTTATAATGCTCCTAGACGCACGAGACTAAATTTTATTTCACAAAGTTCTTCAAATTTGAATTAAATCTTCAAGATGAAATTCTCTTTGAAAGACGAGCTGGAATCAAGTTTGTAACGAACCAAGGTACCCTGTAGGTGTTACATGGCGTATAGGACCCTGAGACGCCCCATACAAGCAACTTAGCATTCATAACATAAGAAATAGAACAAATAGATAAAGAACAACACTTCCAGTGCAAATCATTTCTTATAAAAGTAAAATGGAAGTCTAAACACTTGTCTCATAAGCCATGTTGTACACAAGAATGAAATTGGGCCTAGACCATACATCATCTCAAAACTGAAAGTGTGAAAGAAAACAAAAAACCATAAAAATCACTCCTCAAAGTATGAGGCCACACGAGTGCTCGAAGTCTCTCAAATCAGCCTTTAGCCACGAAACTGAAAACCCTGACTGTCGGACCTTACATTAGTGGCAATGTATGAAAGAGTATGCGTTAGTACAAAATATGTAGCAAGTATGATAGACATGCATATAAACATTTAAATCAGGCTAAAATATGACATTCAATGACCAAGATAAAACATGGTATAAAAAAGGTTAGAAAAATAAGTCTGAAAACATGGTCCATGCAAGCTAACATCTTTAAAACCACTGAACACATGTGAGATACTTCTTGAAGTAACCTTAGTTCATTATTATTATGGGAAGTAGCCTTAACTGAGATAAAGACTATGTGAGCTATACCATGATCCCCCGACCTGGATTCACGGAAGAGCTTTCATCTCAATATCCTTTCGGTGCTCAGCATAAATCCCATAGAATAGTCATTTTCTTACTTAATCATATTATCTATGGAAGGACACGTCTTTTTGCCAATCCAAGCTAGGTCATAAGTTGTCCATGGAAAGTTATCATTCAATAACCAATCCAAGCTAGGTTTCTTTAGAATAGCACCTTATATTAGATTCATTTAGGTGAGAAGACCTTTAAACCTTGAATGCTTACTAGGTAAGAAAACCTTTCACCATCATACTATCATGTGTATATGAGAAATCCTTTCAACAACACAATAACAACATCATAATTGATACTTCACCCTCAAATAATCCTTAAAACATTTACATAAATTTCATAGAAACAGGCTTACTTTCATAAACACTTCATTCAGAATCCAAAACCACATCATATCATCATAATTTGGAATTACATGGGTTCATGGGGAATCATCATAAAGTCATTAGATTAACTCAATTCATGCATAAAAGATCAAATATCAATAAACTAAATCAATAATTAAAGGAACCCATATCATAGAAGAAAACCCTAACTCAATTGGGGAATTCTAACTTTGAAAATAGGAGAATTTGGAAACTCCATGAACGGAAGGAATCCATGGATGAAAACTATCATGCCTCAATGCCAAAATCTTTCCTTCAATGGAGGAATTGGATAATTGACTTGCAAACTCTAGCTTGGACCCTTCTTCTTGAAGTTTTTTCTAGAGAGAGAAATATTTGGGAGGAAGACTTGTTCTTCTTTTGTAATTTTGAGAGAATGATATTAAATTGAGAAATTTTAGAGTTAAAACACTTATATAGGTGTTTTTGTGAAGGGTAAAACGACATATTATTAGGCTAAACTAATTAGGTAAATACCCAATGTATCACATCAAAATCTAGTAGTCTATGCAAGGGACCAAGTGAGAGGTGACAAACCATGATGTGAGCCTGGGCAACCTTCACGAAGGACCAGACGGACCGTGAAGGGCACCGTAAGGCATGATGCTGCCCAAGATGGCTCACAAAATCAAGCCAAGAGATGCTTCCCTCCCACAAGCACCCACATGATTTGTGAAGATGTCAACGAGTTGTGGTGATGGCTGTGGAGGGGAGGCAGTACCTACCCAAAATCATGACCCTCTACACGAGCCACTATATGGCTCGTGAAGGGTAAGACAGGCCGTGGAGATGGTCATGAAGGGAAAATGGGTTAAGGGGTGGTTTTCCAAGCCATTGGTCAAGGACCATGGCCACCACAACGCACTGTAAAGTCCTTGACGGCTCGTGGAAGCCTTTATCAAGAGGCTGTGTCAGCTTTAAGTCAAGAGGCGGTTGGATCTTTTCCAGAGTTTTTTAAATCAATACTATGTCATTTTACCCATGCCTAGGACATCTATATAAGTGAATTTAACCCCAAAACTTATCCATTCAATTCATTGTCTTAAATTTACCAACATAAATTGGGTTCTTCCTCTCGAACATATTTCTCTCACTAGAAACTTGAAGAAGAAGAAGGGTTCAAGCTAGGGCTCAAGGTCAAGTCTCCATTCCCCAAATTTTATTTGGGATTTGATAACAAGGTATGATATCTTTTTCATGATGGAGTTCCTAAGTTCTCCCAATTGGAAGTAGAAATTCCCCAATTTGAGCTAGGGTTTTCTTCTAAGTTGTGGGTCTTTGTGATGTTGATTCAATTGATTAAATTATGATTTATTATGCATGAATTTAGAGGATTACATGCTTTTCTGATGAATTCCTATGTACCCATGTTTAACCCATGTTTCTAAGAT